AAACTAGAAGGGACAGTTTACTTATATAAGTATTAGGTTTAAAAGTCCTGCCTGGAGGAAAAGAATTAAATCTTTTGTGCTTCCAAGAGAGATACATTCGCACTAATGAAATTTTGGAGTAGTTTGGAAGGAAGTGCTAAAGTTTGAAGTCCTGTCTGTCCTCCAGGTCGTGCCTGTCCTTACAGGTCACAGTGCTGCTGCTATACATTCCACTGGAATTATGCCTGTGGCATCGTTGCTGCCAACCTGCTTCAGAAAATGATGAGTTTCAGTTGTGCTGAATACAGAGAGGGACTGATCTATGTCCAAATGAAGTAAATGAAGAGATGCCAGCTAACTGTAAGGGGTTTGGGATGTGGCCCATAATATGCAAAATGGTTTTGTGTCAGAGGGGATTTTCTGTGTATGAGAATGGGATGATCCCAATTTTAAAAAATAGGAAATATTTTACAATGAAAGCATGACGGAGCAAGGAAACAAAGGAACTGGTTGTTAGTTGCAGTTGTGTTCTATATGTGCCATTTTAATAAACTGTGGGATATGACAGTTGGTGGTTTACTCTTAGTTCACCCAAAATAAAGGAGTGTAGGAATAAATAAAATGATTAGGCTAGTTTCCAATCCTAGCACTTCACAGCCTGAAGCAATAAGGACAAATCAGAATGGCAGAAATGGAGTTGCCCCAGTCCTCTGCACTGTGACATCCAGACAACTTGGGGGCACTGCACAGGGATGGTGAAAAGTCCTTCCTCAGCTGGAGAGAACACGGAGCTGGGAGAGTGTTAAAACATGTGCAGGAGGATACAGTGAAGATCTCCCACCCTTCGGTTAGGATGCACTCTCCAACGATTGCAGGGGCACTGGCACAGGCTCAGAAGGACGGTATGGACACTGCAGCGCTGACAATCCCGCCATGTTTATTAGTGGTAAGCTCCAGGAAATGTTCCACATAGCCTTCATAGTTTTCTGGCTTCAGACTTAAATGCATACACGCACACACTCACACCATCCCTTCTAAAATTTCCTCTGAGGTTTCAATGTACTGCTATATTATCCTCAGGAGCTGCTTCTCCCCACAGGCTCTGCGCTACACTCTTTTCTACCATCCATAATAGCCAGTTGCATATACTGGGAAGAATGCATTTTGTTACCACTTTGATGAGACACGGCCATGCAGTAAGATGTACAATATTGACCAAGCGGTCTCACTGAAATTATCGCTGAGCTAAAACATAAGATGAGGAGTTCATTACTTGTTCTGTGCTCTCACAGAAAGTACCATTTCCAAGGTCCAGTAGGTTACTTATCACCTTCTTTGAGACCTATAGCTGTACTTGTAATAAGATTAACAAAAAGAGATCTCAAATATCACTGTATAAAAAGACTACTTGGGTGGGGAAAAGGAACAAAGTTCCAGAAGGGAACTTCTTGTATCTCTGGAGAGACAGGAGATAGATCCATGAACTGAGCCTAACAGCAAAAAGAAAAGAAATTCCATGTGGATCTAGATTTATACACACGTGAACATGTGTGTGTATATATTTATTATATATGAGACTCAAGTCCTAAAGTATGCAAAGAGAATATGTGCTCTATCCTTGTGGCTTTTTTCCCTGTACCCTGTTGTCCAGATGTAAGCTGTGAAACACATCCAAGTTCCTTAGAAAGGGAAGTGTCGAGCCAGGCAGTTCAGGCTGAGCTGTTGTGGTTATCACTCCATTGAAAATGAACAACAAATGCAAAAAACAGAGGCTGTGTTTGATTCTGGATCTTTCTGAGTTTACTTTCTCCAGTTCCCACCCCCACAGTCTCACCTCTCTCCCACCCTTCCCCACTTACCATAAAGTTATGATGCCCTTTACTATAATAATGAATGGAATTCCCAGATTATTATTTTAGAGGCTTAGCTGATTCTCAGTGTTTTTTATGTGCTTAGCACTTATACAAAGAGGCTTTTTCATATGTCTTTCAGCAAATATAGAAATAGGCTTGGAGTCAGCATTCATTTTAATAGTTTCAACAGATAGTCACATTTATTTCCAAATATTTCTTTTTTTCCTAATTGCATTTTTGCATCACTCTGCATGCAGTTGCACTACACACCCATCTATAAACTTAGACCTATTGCCAGCGAGTAGAATATCTCCATCCTTTTAGTAAATTTTTGTAAAAAACATATATAGCTGCACATGGCTCACTGTACAAAACTCTAAATACATGTAAGAGTGAGAATGTTGGAATCTCACTTCCCCTTCTGCATGTTATTTATTTCCAGGTAATCTCAGCTGAGAGTTTTCTAGTGCTGTCACTACGGCCACTTTTATATCGGTTATTTTTCTCAATACAGATGTGTAGCTATTTGCCTTTTCTTTACTTCTCTGTAAATGCCATATGGACAGAAATCATTGAGTCACCAGATCATACATTTATTTTTATGATATATTATGCTGTTTGATGTCATGTTGACATCTAATTGATGTTGGTTTTGCCTTTTTTTTGTC